AAAATACATATGGGTGTCTTTCAATCGGTGTTCCTTGTTTCCGATGCTGAAACAATTCTGATGATGAATTTCACGTACAATAGCGTGGCATATCAGCATACAGCAAAGTGCAAGCAAAAAAAATCTGTTCAACACATTGAGAAGAAACTTGTTGATGTGGTCGATATTGGACGTCCCGCTCTCTCCGCCGCGTTTTCTTGATTGAAATACACTCGTTGTCCGCTTTTTAGATGAACTGCGATTTTATAATATTTGCTCGATGGTTGCTCATTAATAAGATTCGCGAGTTTTGACAGGAACTTTACCGCTAAAATCTTCCAAAAACTTCACAATTTACGTATCCAACAAATTGTGAAGAAGTTTCAGATCAAACGATTAAAATTATAGTCTCTTATTACTTGACATACAAACAAATGAAAAATAAGGAATATTAAAAAAAATTCTTAAATAATTTCTATGCAAAAAATGTTATATTGATATGAACAGAAACAGAGGAAACATCAATATAATAAAGATAATAAGAATGCGGTGAAATAATTAGAGTACAATATTTCGTGAACAAACTGATCATCTCGGTACGGATACAGATAGGGAATATCTTTTGAAATATATAGGATATTTTTTTAAATTTGATTGCCATAAAATATTTTAATATGTAAGCGATTTATTATATTGAGCAATAAATAGCTTACGTATTACGTATCGCATCGTATCGTGGTGGATTCAAAAGTGGATGATTTGAATCAAATTAATGCTCTTCTAGTTCGTAAAGCTAAGACTAAAAGAGAAATCATAATGAAAATGAGGAGAAAGACATTTTATACCATATGATTTAGACAATATTGATAAAAAATTGTTGACTCAAGAACTGTTTCACAGTCCGCTCCTTATAGTAAGAGAGGTCTATTTTCATTAAATAAGAGGAGAGTAAAATTAATATGAATCACACACACAAAATTTCGAATAAACTGTTACTGTTATTTGTAAATTTTATAAATTATCCCATAATTATGATCTTATAAATAACCATCTAAATTGTTTACGACTGTAGTAGTGGAAGTTTTATCTTCAAATCTACATAACATAACCGAACAATACACCGAAATATGTATTTTTTCCTGAAGCATCGAGGTCGTTTTTTTGTTAAGTTAACCATCTTGAATATTTAGAGCGTATCTTCACCTTCTAATTTAATTTAATTTTCAACACTTTCCGTACTTTCTTTCGGAGTGGAAATTTCTCTCCTCACGACATAAAGTTCATGTACTTATCTTATATCACAATATGGTTAAAACTATCGACTTCTTTTTTCAGTTCCTTGGTTATTATGATGCAACAATTACTAAATCATATTCTGCTGCAATTACCTTTGGTAATGTAAACGAGTGATCAAGTAGAAATCTAAACTAAAATCTGCGTAAAATCATCTCATTTAATGTATTTAAGTGGTGATCCTGTGATGATGCACGAGACGGTGCATGTGATGTATGTACAATCCCTATAAGAAATCACATCCGCTTCAGATCCGGCACAGATTAAATAATGTTTGCCCCCGGCCCTACCTCCTAGGTAATACCGGTTCGTTTGAGGTATGGTGCGAATATTTGCTTTAAATGTTTTATGTATATTGCGGTTTTTTTAATTGTCCAATTCATGTATATAAAATAACTCCACGTTAAAATAATGATATTTAAAAAGACCAACGCGTGCCATTCACGTGTAGCAAGTGAGCAAACGGCGGGTTATCAAAAAGTGGGCAAAGTCCGCGCAACGGCAGTAAGTGTAAGTAGGGTAGTCCTGAGACGGTACCGAGTTGTAGTGTATTTTCTTTGATATTTTTTAGAGCAGAGAGTGTAACGACCATTATATTCGTAATCGGTTTATAAGTAGTTGTCGTGAAGAGAGGAACAACAGGCCGTGGCCAAGACACGGTATTTACATACAACGCCGTCTGTGTACGTTTACGCGAAGGAGCGCGATGTCGGTTAGACAATATGTGGGCTTGTTTTTTAAAGAAAAAAGGGTGACAAAAGAGCACGCAGTCTAACTGATGGAAAGGTAATATTGTGATCCATAGAAACCTACATTTATTCTCGATTAAGAATCAAAATGCTGACGCGTTGTCTCCCTGAGGACTAAGAATAATTGCCTCGTTACCAGCAAAATGGATCTCTGATTCTCGTCACCGACAATATGTTGCTATTTTGCGCTGGTATTCTGTGTGAGCACGGTCCTTCCTCGGTTGGGACCGCTCAATCCTACTGCAAACACAATGCGCTGCAGCGCGTCTCTACCACGTCTAAATGATAAGGTAGGCTTCATCTGTTTTAGGACACTACACGGCCTTCTATATGCTCCAAACCGGTACAAAAAAGTGGACACACTCATGGCTGCATGGCAACAGAAATTGATAATAGTAATGGTATCCATTCGAACAAGAAAGACTTTGCTGTATGGTGGTGTAAGATAATCCATAACATCTCATAACCGTCCTAAGAGGCGACTATGGGACTAAGACAAATGGGCCAAGATATAATTATTAACGCCGCTATCGCACAGTGCAAAATACAAATACATATAAATGTCTGTCGGTGAAATTGAAATAACTGCCATTTATTTAGCTCAGGAGGTCATTGTCAGTTTCTTTGTCTATCTGTCTGTAATTAATAGACTTCGTCACCGTTTGACCAACTACCAGCAATGTTAAAAAGTTGGCGCATATAAATGAGTTGACATGAACTTTCAAAAGTATAAAAAATCACCGACATACTTATTATTTAAGTTATTCGACGATAGATGGAATGGACAAGCCTGGGAAACAGGCTTGTTCAATCCATCATTATATCATGGCTGATAAAAAGATCAGATCAGAGAAAAAGGATTTATCTATACTAGTATTATAGAGAGGAAAGATTTTTGTTTGTTTGTTTGTATCGAATAAGCTCCGAAACGCCGTGTTGTTGTCATAACTCATTTGAATCATGTAACAAAATAATAAATATAATATGTATTTCTTTTAGCAGGGATGGGAGATATGATAAGGATATTGAACGACGAGAGAACGCAGGAAACAGAGTAAATGGGGCCCTGCACTCTATTGTGAAGAGTCAAAATGTGTCAAAAAAAGGCACGTATGGCAATTCACAATGCTGTGTTGGTCCCTACTTTAACGTATGGTAGTGAAAGTTGGGTGTGGCAGAGGAAGCACGAGAGTAGAATAAATGCAGTAGAAATGCGGTCGTTAAGGAGTATGTTAGGGCTGAATCTGAATGACAGGGTGAAGAATTGTGTGATAAGAGAAGAGTGTGGCATTTGCAAGATGATGTTGTGACCAGGATTAAGAACGGAATGCTTCGGTGGTTTGGTCATGTGGAAAGAATGGATGAGGAAAGAGTGACAAAGAAAATTTATGTTGCAGAAGTGAATGGCAGAGTCGGAAAGGGACGTCCTAGGCGAAAATTTATCGACCAAATTGGCGATTTATTGAAAACGGGCCAAATTAGGAGTACCCTTAACCGACGAGCATGCATGCGTAGATGTATGGATGTGAAGGAGGCGAGAGAGGTGTGTCAGGATCGTGCCAAATGGAAGTCTGTAGCTCTGCCTACCCCTCTGGGTGACAAGCGTGAGTGTTTATGTATGTTATGTTCTTTTACAGAGAAGTTTTGTCATGCTATCCATTTTGCTGTATGAAAAATGGTATACACAGGCACGACAATATTTGGCAGGTGTTGCTAGTAATAAATAAAATAGAAAAGTTTCAACAAAAAACTTTACAAAGTGTATTTAAATTGGGAGCTCCTAAGCAGCTTATATCTATGATAGTATTATTTTCATCACAAATATCTTGTACACATTTAATTTTTTCACATCCTTTCAAAAAATCTCTTTATCATTCAAATATATCTTGATAATTCTGTGAAACTCTTTATAATCAACAAAGCCCTCACTCCATCGATACTCTGTGCTTTTCAATCCAGCCAATTTGTTTTCTCTTCAAGAGATAGTGAAGTTAATGGGTAAGGAGATTCAACTCTAGAGTAGCTATAGCAAATTCTTTTACTATAAATTCATTATTGTTATTTTTGAATCCTTGAAGATCTACGTTTACAATATTGCTATTCATAATATTTTTTAACGATATTACTCAGTGGTTTGTATTCGAATATACAATCTTTTAAAATCAAGCAATAAGCGGTTGTCTGAAGTAAAAATTAGTTACATTCGTATCGTAGTATTAATTCATATTCAAATGTTAATAGTTCATCAAGAGTATTTATGTAGCAGTAAAATACTTTTTAATTCATTCGAATCGGACTTTTAATTTCGAAGTTACAATTAGTATAATAATTCAATACGCGAACCGTTCGAGGCCGCCGCGACGTTTCTATACAAAAAATCAATTGTTGTCCGGTAGTTTCGCTAAAACTCGAAAACGCCTCGACCGATTTTGTTGAATTTTTTTTTGTGTGTTTGAATGGGTCTGTAGATGGTTTGGATTAACATTTGAACCCGGTAGGTGGCGCTGTTGTCGAGATCCAGAAATCACCCGTGCGAAGCCAGGGTGGATCGGTAGTTTTCAATTAATTAGGGCACGCCGTGTTGTTGTCATGACTCATTTGAATTAAGTAACAAAATAATAAAATATAATATGTATTTTTTACGGAGAAGTTTTGTCATGCTATCCACTTTGATGTATGTAAATTGGTAATATACAGGCACGATAATATTTGGCGGGTGTTGCTAGTAATAAATAAAATAGAATTGTTTCAACAAAATACTTTATTATATCTTAAACAAGTTTCGATAGTTAGAAGTATTAATGGAAATTGCTTTAAACAGGTTAGTCAAGTATGTCAGAAAGTACGATAGCTGGGACTGGCATGATAGACTGAGCGACTATAAGAGCCTCGGGTGCAGCGACTTCTTCGACGACAGCGACGGGCTTAGGGACGATGGGCTTGTCGACAACGATAACAGGCATGGGTTCGATAGCTTCATTAACCACATGAACGGGGTTGGGTGACTCGGGAAGGGGATGGGATAGTTTCAATAGCAACAGGAGAAACAGCAACGTCAGAAGTAGACTTGATGTTCAGGATGATTTGAACAAGAGGAGCACCCGCAGAGGGCGCAACGGAAGCAGGCATCATGGGGGCGGGGTGTGCCTCAGTCACAGCACCTCCGTCGGACAAGGGGAAATCGATGATAGTGGGTTCGATTGAAATAGGCTCAGGGTTGTCAACGATGGCAGGTCCAACCTCAATGGGCTCGGGTTGGTTTAGTCCAAGGATATCTAGTAGCATCTGTTCGAGAACGGCAACAGTAGCACTGGGACTCTGGATAGCAGCCACGATCTCTTGGATCTCAGGGTTGTCGATGACGATGACCGGGGGCGGGATAATGCTGGGCGAAGCCATGGAAGCGAAGAGCGCGTGGGCGATAAAGTATTTCATTTTTGTTCTGAAACAAAAGCAATATTAAATATAAAATAACCACGGAAAAGTTAATTTCAAATTGTTATTTAAAACTGTCTATTATTTTAAAATCAGTTTAAGTTAAAATTAGTTCAAGTTTTTAAAGGGACTGCATCCACGTGACAAAGGGGCCTAGTTTTTTTCTCGCGCAAAGGCTATTCAGCTAGGAAACTAGTATTTATAAATGTAGTATATAGGTTATAAATGTTGTATATTATAATTTTTAAACTCACTTTAGCCTCAGTTTGTGGCTTATAGCACCACTTACATTTAGGACACTGTATTTATATAAAATTTGTCATTGTCAACGTTTTATTCTTTGGATTATTTGTAAATAAATCTTAATACACGCTAATATAAAGTATCTTCATAGAAATGACTTCTTAATCGATGCAGTAAATTTTTTAAATTGTGTACTGAAATAAATTTCCCTTTTTGATAAATAATATAATAATAGAAGTTATTATATTTTAAGATGCTTCTATTTTTTTATTATAATTAAATGTAATCACGTACAAATGTCAAACCAAACAAACAATGTAGGTACCACAAAGGCTTTTCTAGTTTACTGCAGTATGATGCCATATGACAGTCGGATCCCACGGTTTTGGAAGCAGAATAAATGGTGGTTAACTACTATAAGAAAGAGGGGCTATTTCTCACGAAGTAGCTCTTTCCGAAGAAGCGCTAGAGGAACTGTTCCTAGCTTAGCCTTTATAAAATGACAAAAAAATGAGATGAACTTCGACGTGACGGACAAAAGGCAAGTATTCAGAGATGTCTCAGTGATCAACAAATATCACCCATACCGGAAGCGATCACCGACTTGTCAAAGGCAATTAATAAAGTACAGGTGTTACCTTGAAGAAATACATTATAATGAAGTTATTAAAAATTCACTTGCTTAGATTCGGGCAATAAAATAAAATGATGTTTCTTACCTAGTTTGAAGAGCAATTCCCGCACTCCCTAAATTGCATGCACTGTGGTGTTGTGGTGTGTGGAGTGTGAAATAGTGGTGATGGGGATAGCGTGCACTATAAATAATTGAAAGAGGGCTGAAGTTGTCTTTCAAACTAGGTAAGACACATCATTTAGTTGTCTATTGTCCAAGGCACTTTTGACGTCGATTTTACGCTTGAAAGATCTCCTGGGATAAAGTCCACTCTCCCATCGCTTCCAGCTGGAACTTAAAAACTGATGTAATGTATTGAGACCCACTTTGGATATTGACGATCTTAGTAAGCTAGCTTAATTGGCTGAGTGAACGAGCAATATTGGCGGCCAAAAACAAAGATGTTAATGATATCAATGCGACCATTCAGAATTTTCTTCCAGGGGAGTTGTTTTCTTACTAAATCAGTTGACACAGTTACAAACCAGGATGCCGTAGTCAACTATCCCACAAAGTTTTTAAATTCCCTGGATTTTTTTTAAAGAAGATTAAATTAAATATTATTTAAAATCTAAGTTACAAATTTACCTCTCTCCTTTGTAAGTGTAACTCAGCATGTTGTGAAACTCTGTCATTGGCTAAGTGTACTATTTTTTTAAGTATGTTTGTAAAAAAATGCTGTTGAGTTTCCCAATAAATAAATAAAAAATATGCTGATCTTGCATTAGTAGTCAGTAACTTGTACTGGGAGGTCTACTTACACTAAACGTTAGGTCATTTTCTTTCTTCTATCGACCAATTATTTTACTAAAGACCAGTATATGTTAATCTTGCAATAGTAGGCAGTAACTATTATTTGGAGATATACTTACACTGAACTTTGTAAGGTCATTCACATTATACGCGAACGCCGTAGGATGCATTGTTTTTATGTATTCTTTTGGATTTAATCTATCTGGTTATATATATGGTTATATATATGGCTAGTATGACATATGAGATCATACTTAATAGGTGATTTATAACAATGGACATCGAGAAATAACAACATCTTCTTGTCAGGTATACCTTAATACCTGAAAACGAAATTATACTACCTGTGCGTGTTGCCAGTGATGACTTATAAATCTGAGACGTGCTCCATCACTGCTGGCCGTATGAGGACAGTGAGCTAAGGAGAGGTATATGCTCGGGGTTTCTCTGCGTGATAAACTTAGAAATGGGGATATCTGCAGTAGAGCCAGAGTAACTGACATAGCCCAACGGATTAGTAAGGTGAAGTGACAATGGGCCGGCAATACAGCTCAAAGAACCGACACCCGATGGAGATAAAGATTCTCGAGTGGTGGCCTCGTAACGGTGGGCGAAGTGTATGGCGACCCCCCTCCCCCCACCCACTAGATGAAGTGACGACCTGGTAGGACATGCAGGAAGTCGATGGATGCAGGTGGCCCTGAATCGTGTTTTATGTCATTACTTGAGGGAGCCTGAACCGTGTTTTATGTCATTCCTTGAAGGAGGCCTATGTTCAGCAGTGGACTTGTGAAGAGCTGTAATGATGATGATGATGATTATAACAATAACATTGTAGTTTATGGTTTAGAAAATTCTACATCTACAACTTTTATGAACTTTACCTATGGATTTTTTCATCTATGGATGCCTTTTCAGTGATATTAAATATCTCAATCATAGAAGTACTATTATGGGCACTTTATATGAAAATAAATAAAAAATTGCGCAACGAAATGCGTGCGAAATGCCAACAGGTCCACCGTTTCGGTGGCTACAAACCGAGATGCTGAATTTGAAATACTTAAGTATCATCTATATTCACCAACCTTAAAATCTAGATATTTCTATTTCCAAGAAGAACAATTTAATGAGCCCAGCTGTAATGAAGTGCATTATTATAAAACTACTAGGGAAAGCTCGCGGCTTTGCATGCAATGCCTTAATTTCAGGAGATTTCTATAAAATATAATTTAAAATAATATAATTCATAGTAATCAAAACATATAATATATTTTAAATTACTCATGTAATATGTGTGTGTGGTGTTGTGATTTATTTAAACAATTTGTTTTAAAACATAAATGTATGTATTACGAGTATTCACGACAAATCGTTGGATAAATCCATACTAATATTATAAATGCGAAAGTAACTCTGTCTGTCTGTCTGTCTGTCTGTCTGCTCCTCTTTCACGCCTAAACGGCTGAACGGATTTTGATGAAATTTGGTATGGTGATAGATGATAACCTAGAAATGGTCATAGGCTATAAATAATCACGCCATCGTTCTTAGGGGGTAGGCAGTAGGCAGATAACTAAATTGAGTTAGTGATTTTTAGTCGTTTTTGTTGGGGCTTTTGCTGCAGATCTGTAATGGTTACCTAAAAACGGATATAAGATCAAAATGATCACGTCATAGTTCTTAGGGGGTAGGAAGTAGGCAGAAAACTGAATTGAGTTAGTGATTTTTTTATGGTTTTTGGTGGGAATTTTGCTCTATCATGCCTAAACGGCTGAACGGATTTTGATGAAATTTAGTTAGGTGATAGATAGTAACCTAGAAAAGGATATGGGCTATTAATATTCATGCTATCGTACTTAAGGCGTAGGCAGTAGGCAGAAAACTAATTAAGTTAGTGATTTTTAATAGTTTGGTTTAAAAGTTTACCTCATTCACGCCTTAACGTCTGAACGGATTTTTATAAGACTTGGTTAATATAAAGATAGGATCCTAGGCACGGACACAGGCTACTTCTTACGGCGGGAAAATACCTCATTCCCGCGGAAATCTAGCGTGATCGTGTCAAGAAGCGAATGACGCCATAGCTACTGAAATGATTTTGATGTTTTTTTTTTAAATGAGTGTTACTAAGACTTAAAGTTAGTATTTGATCACTTTTCTAACTTAGAGGGTCGGTAGGCGCCATAATTTAGGGAATTTATTATAAAATTTTGATGCATCTGTCTTTATTTAACAGTTTTACTTGGATCGAAACTTAGCGACATACCATCACACTACTTAACTTATAGGGTAGGAAGGTACCAAAATTCAGACTACTTTTTACTTCGGGAAAATATCTCATTCCCACAGGAACCTATACACAGCTACCTATCTACAACATTAAAACTCTGTCTAGAATCACATTACGCCATAGCTATTGATCTGATTTGTATACGATTTTTTATTCAACTGACTGTTAAATTACATACAGATAAAATCTAATTACCTACACCACAGAATTAATATAGTACTACATAACTAGCTACGCTTTAAACTTGAGGAGGTAATTAGATAGACATTTATACGAACTTTATGCTCAGTAATCAATCATAGTGATAAGTTAATACTCATTTTAGACAAAGAAACGGATAGGTAATCAGTTCATCACCGAAATTATAACACCTACACTTAGTTTGTTTACTATTCAACGAGGGAAAATAATTCAATATAACGCAAACCTTCAAATCATACGTCGTCGTAGTGAATACAAGACGCTGCGCCGAGCGAAGAGGCGGTGCGGCGCGAGGGGGAGGGCCGTGCCCAACTGTGCCTACCCAAGCGGGCAGACGCACGAGGGCAGACGTCGTCGTCGCACGTATGCGAATATTGAAATATTGCGTTACGAAACTCTATTCGTTGCGTATTTTTGGTTAGCTAAAAACGTTCTTTTTAAATTCAGAGTTGAAATAGGTACTACGGTCTACGCGTAGGGTCTGTAAGCTTTAATTTAGTCCTTTGTTTTAGATATCTAAATAAATATTTGGTAGGTTATTATTTTTGAGTCCAAGTTGACGTCATTTTCGTATTTTTATTAAGTACTTAGTTACATTTTTATTATTAGGTAGTTAAGGTAGCTGTTAGATGTAGGTATTTTCTTAACCAATCATTCATATCTCTAGGTTTACTCAGATACGTATTATTCTTTATTTTTGCAGTCGCTTTCATTTGTTAATTCTCAATTTTATTCATGTGTAGGTTAAGTGTTTTTTAGCTCACATCAGGATGTTTATAGTTCGTAGTAAATTAGTTTAGTAATAGATTTTGTCATTATATTATAGTACTTTTATGT